TTATTTATGATTTCTTTATTTTTGGCGTTTGTTTAGATTTACGTTAAGATCTGCAAGATCTGCAAGATCCTGCAATTCTTATTGGCTCCGAGCCTAATTTTGTAGATCCTTAGCCCGGGATTTTCTTGACATAAGGGAATCCTCCCTTATGTCAAGAAAATCCCGAGCTGCAGAGCACTGCAGATCACTATCGGCCTAACTCCGGAGCCCGATCCCGATTTCTCTGCCCGGTAACTCATGGATTGTCAGTAAATTGACGTACGCGTAATATACTCTGGGACTGTCAGTAAAATTGATGTACGCGCGTAATTTGTATATCATAGAAGGTTTTTGATTTTGACTTATATTGCTGTACCATGTTCTCATGATCGTTTATAGTTTTTATGATACTCTTTTGCGTGATGATAAAGATGAAACCAAACCAGCGAAGACAACCTTGGTTAAACCCCAAGTTTTCCTAATGAAAGGCAAACCTAAATCTGAAATAACGAAGGGCAAAATCTGTTGAAACCTTAGACGCGTAAGGTAAAAAAAGTCAAACTATAATCAGTAAACAGTTATCTATGGCTATTGTGATCTTATAATTACTGTATTTGTTGGACGAAGAGTCTATTCTCCTTTTTGATTTCTTCACTATTTATTAATCTTTTTTTTTTTAGTTTCATAACTTTTGCTATTAATTTATGGCTATTAGTACAATAATCTTATATAATTACTATATTTTTTGGACAAAGGATCAATTACCCTTTTTAGATTTCTTCGCTATTTATTAGATATAGTAACCTTATAATTACTGTAATTGTTAGGCAAATGATCAATTATCTTTTTAAGTTTTTTTCACAGTTTATTGATTTTTTTTTTTTGTTTCATAACTTTTTCTAGTTTGCAACAAATTGTTATCAACTCTAAACATTAATTTATAGCTATTAGTTACAGTGATATTTAATTAACATATTTGTTGAGCAAATGATTAATTATTATTTTAGATTTTTTTCACAATTTATTAATCTTTTTTTTCAGTTTCATAACTTTGCTAGTTGTACCAGATCACTATCGACTAAGCATAAATATATAGCTATTAGATACGGTGGTCTTATAATTACTGTATTTGTTAGATTTCTTCTTTGTTACACCATTCGTATATATTGATACATATTAAGCTGGTGTTATTGTAAATAGACATATTGATATAGAAAAGTCACTATCAATAACTGATAAAGATTCAGGCATTTATAACCTTTATTAAGTCAAAATTAAACAGTTATATATATATTTAAATATTTTTTTAATAATTTATTAATTTTAGGGAATTGATATATCCAAGCTCCTTTTTTGATAATGCCACACTGCCTGTAAATATTGATTTTAATAATTTTCTAATTTTTTTAAAACTTCAATCGAAGATATATTGACAATCTTCTAATCAAATTCAACGTACTTTCCTTTATCTTAATTGTAGAAATCACCAGAAGTCGAATAAAAAAAATTCATTGAATTTGGTCAAGATATCTTCAAAGTTTTGTAAAAATTTGGACGTCTATTTAAATAGAAGATTATTTTAAACTTTGATCGAAAATATCTCGACACCCACCTAACCAAATTCGATAAAGATTTTTTTATTCGATCCTGGTGAGTTTTACAATTAAAAAAAAGCTCATCGGATTTGTTCAGGTGGATGCCGAGATATATTCGATCAAAGATGAGCTTCTTTTTTATTCGAACTCTGGTAATTTCTACAATAAAAGAAAAAGGAGTTCATCGAATTTGGTCATATGGGTGCAAGATTTCTTTGATCAAAGTTTTTATAAAAATTTGGACATGAAGCTGTATTGAAAATTGGTTTAAACTTTGAAGATATCTCGACACACACCTGACCAAATTCGATGAACTTTTTTTTTATTTTAATTATAGAAATCACCAATTCGAATAAAAAAAGCTCATCAAATTTGATCAGGTGGGGATATCTTCGATCAAAGTTTGTAAAAATTTGGAAGTCTAGCTGTGTTGAAGATTGTTTTTGAACTTTGATAGAAAATATCTCGGCACCCTCCTGACTAAATTTAATGAACTTTTTTTTTTCTTTTATCACCAAAATTTGAATTAAAAAAAGCTCATCAAATTTGATCAGGTGGTTGCCGAGATATCTTCGATCAAAGTTTTGTAAAAATTTGATCTATCAAATAGGATCTTGTTGAAGATTGCTTTTAAACTTTGATCGAAGATATCTCAACACCCACCTGACCAAATTCGATGAACTTTTTTTTATTCGAATACTGATGATTTCTACAATTAAAAGAAAAAATAGTTATCGAATTTAGTTAGAAGGTTGTTGATATATCTTCAATTGAAGTATAAAAAAAACATAAATTTATTAAAATGATCTACATTTACTGGAGCGTGGCATTATCAAAAAAGGAGCATGAAATATCAATTTCCTAATTTTATTGTATGAATCTTATAAAATTATAAAAGACTAAAATATGCTCTACTATTTTAGAGATTGATTCTTAAATTCTATATTAATTATAGAATCTTGTAAAAAAACTACCTAAATAAGTTATATTTTAGTTTATTCTTTTGTAATATTCAAGTTATTAATATATACTTTACTAATAAATATCTAATTATATAAAAAAATATTGTAGATTTCTTCAAGTTAATTGCAGATTTCTTTTATCTATAGGTATATTTTCTAAATTATTTTCTTGATAAAGTGCGTTTAAACATTCAAATTTTTGTTCAATAAAGCTATTGATCATTTTCAAAATTTCATTTTTACTAGTATTAAGCCGTTTGAAGTTAATTTTTCGGTTAACATCACCCCTCCCCTTTGGCGTCCCCCGGTAAAATGAACATATAAAAAAGTAAAAATTAAAAAATCCATATAACCACGAAATAACGCGATTGGGTGAGGTTTCGAATTTCAATTCAAGCCGAAATTCTAAATAAAAAATAATTTAAAATAAAATAAATTAAATTAAATTAAATTAAATTAATTTAATTTAATTTAAAATAAATTAAAATAAATTAACTTAAACCGAATTTAAAAATAAAAAAATAAAAAATTTTTTTTTAAAAAAAAACGAGAAACAATTCAGCTCCCACTTGGCAGTCCTCTCATATATGTTTATTTCAGTTTGTGATGAAACGATTCAAGAAAAACTGCCGAAAAAAGAGCTTCCGAAGTGTTTTTTTGTTCGATTGTGAAGAGAGAACTAGTATTAATGAGTAAGAAGAATTAAATAAACATTTAACTTTTGTGAGTTAGTTTGTATTGGAATTAAATGTCATGATTTCTATCATAAACTATTGTTACAAAACTTACGAGCTATTGCGGCAACACATAGTTGAGTAGTTTATATTGGAATTAACAGTCGTGATTTCCATCATATAACAAATTACAAATCAATTATTCGAATCGATACTTTTTTACATTTTTTATTAAAATTTGTACGTATTCAGCCAATAGGAACTTGGGGAATTAGTAACCCCAAAATTCCGATCTGTAGAAAATAAAATAAAAAATAAAAATGATGCAGATCCGATCACTAGATCACGAGAATTTTGGCTATAAAAATTATACGTATGAGGTTGTTTTTCTTGGATGAATACATTATATACAGTCAAACCTCCCTATAGTCACCATCTATATAAGCACATCATATAAAAATGCTCTTTATAAGCACATTTATTTTAAAACCAACTATTATAGACATATAGAAAAAAAACTTCTTTATAAGCACATCTTAGTAAAATTCTCTTTACAATCACACAAATCTTTATCCCGAGGGGTGTGATTATAGGAGGTTAGACTGTAATTAATTATTTACTTGTTTATTTTTGCCCCTCTCTTTTATAATAGGAATGTAATGTTAACTACTTATCTGACCTAATTAGAAACTCAACTAGAATCTTTAGACAAAATTTAACTTGAAGTCAATTCGTTATAATAGATTTACTACATTGTTCATTTTATATGTTCGTTTAATTTGCCCCCCTCCCCCCCTTTCGAGAGTTCTAGAAAGTGATGTTAACCGAAAAATTAACTTCGAACGGCCTAACTACTCAATCAAATTCGATGAAAATTTTATTTAATTATACAGACCTATAGAATTAAAACAAAAAAATTCATTGAATTTGATCCAGTAGTTATCGAAACTTGTAGCCATTTTTCTGATTTTTAATTTTTTTTTTTAAAAACAATTTTTTTTTATATTAATTCTACATGTTTATATAATTTAATATATATATATATATTAGCATTAATCGGATGGTCGTTGAAAAATCATCCGTTATATGCTGTTTACATAGTACAGCCAATAAAAAATCGAGAGAATCTGTCGTAACAATCTTGTTGCGGCAATTATAGTTAATGCTATGGCTATAAATGTGGCTAAAAGACTATAGCCATAACTGAGCATTCCTAGTCTGTCTAGACATGGGTGTGGAACTAATTTTATGAGAGGGAACGCATATTAACATAACCTATTCAGGATGAATTTAGAGAAGGACGAGGGCATGTGCTTATGTTTATATACATGTTATTGATTTCATTGAACAATGATCATTGTCCTTCACTTTGAGATGTAATATTCAACATCCACTGTGACACCATTTCGTCCTCATCCCAGATAAACAAAGACCATTTAGGATACACCTAAAGGAAATAATGACAAGATATGGTGATACAAATATGACAACCTTAACGTTAGATATAACGTGTACGTACGTGCGTACGTGTGTACAATTATTTATTGGTTTGTTGCGTGTCAGCAGATCATTTCCAAAGTGAATTTTTTTAAGATACATCGGGAAGATAACACACCAAAAAAGGGTATTAACCTTCGGAAGTTTTTAACCCATTTAGTTAGACAACATGCATGCACTTCTTGCTATATTGTATCTCGTAACTAATAAAAAAATTGTATGCACTAACGTACGTACGCGCAAATTAACATTAAGAAATATTTAAATTTGTAACTGTGCATCCTTACTTTAGAATTGAATGGATTGATTGGTGAGCTATAACCTGTCACGTTGTAATTTAAAATTCCATATTTGTCTGATTATTAACGTTAACGTTTACGTTAACGCTTTAAAAAAATGTATGTATTTAATACTGTATTTTTAAAAAATTTTAAATTGCATTATAATGAAATTATTAGATGGAAAAAATTATACATTGTCTACTGTACTCATTTGAGGATCACTAAAATTTTCAGATGATTTTTTCGAATGTTTTCTTCCAATATAATCTCTAAGAGCATGAAGCCCGTACACCAAAAAATAACATATAATAAAGAAAATAAAGAAAGCGATATAACGTAATGAAACAATTTCTGGAGAAGCATTATACCAATTTAAAAAATTATAAACCCAAAACCTATGTGTATCATAAAGAAGGAAAGCCTCCAACATATAAAGTATTTGAAAAGGAATGGTTATAAATATGAAAGATATTTTCATTATTTGACGATTTAAAAATAATTCAATCAACATGGTTACAAATTCTACGCCATGAACAGAAACATTTAACCACCAGACGTACCACGGATTATTTGCACTAACAAAAAGTAAGCCCCAGTATACAAAAACAATAGGGATGCTATTTATTTAATAAAATATGAATTAGTTATAAATATAAAATTTTGAATATTACCAAATTAAGTAAAGTCTAAGGTAACTTACTGATAATGTACAAGAGTGTGATAAAGAATCCAAAATAAAAAGTTGTGTAATTTTGAAAAATTTTCAAGGGAGTCTGACCGGAATGAATAGAATACTGCGACCTATAAGTTAAAATTAATTAACTTATAAATAATAAAAAGGAGATTAAAAAGAAAAAGAAAATTTGCTTACCGTAAAATAAATTGTTTGACCAATATAACTCAAATTAGTAAAATAACATAAAAAACATTCCGCATCATTATCGAAACCATCTATTGTAAGCGTTTGAGGACGTAATGCATAATCTAACAGATCTCCAATTACAATAATCCAAGAATAAATAGCCACCACAAGGCGAAAAATTTTTAATGTTTTAGGACTTACGAACCAAGAATTAACTGTTAAATTTGGATCAAATTCACCCCAGTGGAAAAAGTTCATTTTGAATTAATTTTACGAGACAAAAAAAAAATGTGAACAATATATAAATGTATTTCATCAATGAAATTTGTCGTACGAATCATGTTACAAGTCATGGCAACAAAAATAAATAGTTCATCATTGAAATAATGTTACACTTACTAATTAACTTATTTACATTATTACTTGAGATCCATATCAGTAATATTCATGATTGCACAATTAATGTGCCAAGAAACCGTATACCACTATATATTGTGTAAAATCCGGATATTTCAATAAGCTAAATTTATCATTTTCATTAATAAAAGTTATTTATTCGATAGAGATTATTTATTCGAAGAAACAATTTACCATGAAGGGCTGTCAATAATGATTATCCTATTTCTAGTGAAAAAAGCTTAGTTTTACTTGTTTACTGTATGTGTTATTCTTATAAAAGATATAGAGATTTAAAAAAGATATAGAGATTTAAAAAAAGATATAGAGATTTAAAAAAGATATAGAGATTTAAAAAAGATATAGAGATTTAAAAAAGATATAGAGATTTAAAAAAGATATAAAAAGATATAGAGATTTAAACTTCATGCACTGTACAGTACATGTATGAAATTTGCAAAAAGAAAATTTTTTAGTGTTTTACCTTTCACCCTAATACTGTAATATTACTAATCTTAACACAAAACGGGACATTTAGAAAAATTAATTCGCACTATAAGTTACTAAACTGAGACTGTGTTACGAAAATGCGTAATATTAATGCTACGTAACTACGTAGAACTGTTAAATGACTATTAGCTAAAAATAGAAAAAATGAATTAAATAAATTGATGATCATATTATCTAAAAATAGATGCTCTCATTCACCGTAGATCGTCCTCCGGACAATTAGCATTACTGCATTACAATTCTGGAATTGTCATTTTTTATGCAATCATGAGTGTCAAATAACGGCATCCGGCGCAGTTTTGTATCAAAGGACATTCAGTTTCAATTTCAATATTTAAAGATAAGATTTTAAATCGATCACTTTCAGATAAGAATAAATAAAATTTATTAAATGTATAAGCAATAATAGAAGTGAAAGGAGTTCGTATTATTTTAAAAAGAGCGCCGTTTTTAAAGGAAATTACGAGTTAATTATAGTAAAGAAAATATATTGTTTAAAAATCATAGAAAATGGTATAGCAGATACCTTGCAACTATGACATAAGTCAAAACAATAATGCACCCAAACCCTAACGTTAGTGTGATAGCGAAATTTTTCTAGGTTAGTAACGCTAGGATCTTAGTATGATGCATGTGTGTACCGGTAAACTAATACCCAGATGATTCTCTAAAGAGAAAGTTGCATGTCTTGTGGTCGTAATATTTTTTTTACTATACCCTCTACCCCCACGTAAGAGAAATTTGGTTGGTTAGTTTATAAATTTATTCTAACATAAGACATCCAAGACCCCCTCCCCTCCCCCATCAGAATATTACGTAATATTTGTCACTGCCCTAAGGGTGTAATTAAATTCTATACGTATTTTTTATTCTAAATTTGATACGAGAATAAATTATTCTGAGACATACAAATGTATGCTGCACGATCGATTGATGAGCATAAAATTTTCTAAGCGGCTTGCATAACCTACGGTATTATAATTTTGAGCTGTATTATGTAAGCCGATCCGAATTACGTATAAAGGCATCATAAACATAAAAATTTTTCCTGTTAAAATCTAGCGTAACGCAAAAAAAAACGTAATCGTGATTCAAAATTTTGTCTATGAAGCTGCCTTCTGCGCAATAACAGCAAAAATTTCTTGAAAATTTTTGTATCAGTGAAGCTATTTCTTCTAATAACGAATAATGGCTTTAATCTAATAGTGAAATTAAGTCTACGTATGTAAATATAAATGTAAAAAATGGATTTTAAGCAGGAAAAAAGATTAACGTTACACATTTATTATAAACCGTTTTGTCTTTATCAAAATATTATTTTTTTAGTATCGATATTTTCTCATCGGGTTGATGAAATGTAATTACTCGTCATAACGAAAAAAAAAAGGATATGATTTTTTATAGGCGAATTCATGTCTCTTTAAATTCACACTCATTAAATCAAATTTGAGATAAATATGAAAATGTTATCGGACGAAATCAAAAAATCGTTCTAATTTCGACATTCGTCGACTAAAATTTTAAAATGGCTTTAGAAATTGTCGAAAGGGTTCTAGTTGTTAAACCTGTCAAAAATAGTTATCCGAAAGAAAAAATTTAAGATAAAGAAAATTTTTGGTAAACTCCGAGATGTTTCGAAGATAAATAAGATGTACGTAGGTCAATGCAAATACTCTATAGGCTACACATATATTAAAATCAGGCTTACAGATGATATCAATTATCAATTACACGAATGAAGATTCTTTTTAAAAGTTTTTACTACAAAAACTGATTTATTTAGTATGACAGTACAGAAATGTTTAGATTCAGAAAATAATATATAGTTAAATTTTTTATATCATGTACTATGGGTCATAGAGAAAATATAAAAAATAAAAGTGGTCGTAATAGTTTCTTTTTTATTTTTTTTTAGAAAAATTAATCTATATTGTTATATTCTTAATAGTGTAAACCTAATTTATAAGAGATACTCAATGTTAATTCTAGTGATACGTTTGTTTATGTAAAGTCTAAAATCATGATGAGCTTGAACATATGCTTAGAAATGAATGTATTTATGTTCATAGTGGTTTAAATATAGTACTATAAAATGTTCTTATAAAGTAATTTTTAAATCATGTAATTATAGGGGTGATTATAAAGCGTTCGATAAAATTGTCTATTTCTAATATTTAATAAATATATTTAATAAATATTTGGGATAATTAAATGACTTCCCTGATCTAAATAATTTAAATAATCCAAATAATCCAAATAATCTAAATACTTTAAATAATCCAAAATCTAACAAATGTCCTAACCAAATTTAACATCTGCAAATATTAAAAAGAAAATCTTTAATAAAAAAATGTCCTAACCAAATTTCCATTTAATTCTTTTATCATTCGGAATATATAAATCTAGTTCAAACCCCGAAATTTTGATACTGATTTCTTTCATTATGACCAATTCCATTAATGAAAATATCTGACACATCATCATGTGGAATGTGTGGTACGCCTATAACTTTTGTATCATCTGCAGGTTCAATAAAAATACCATGACTTCTCATCGATCCTTGATCATTAATAATTCCAAATGTTTGAGGATCATTTACCCTGAGTTCGTTTACGCGAAATGCTATATTAGTATGCTGATCTCGTTGTTCAGGTTTAGTGAAATCTTTCCAAATACAACGAGCAATTTCATCAATAGTTATAGGATCTGAAATATTATAAGCATTGATACAGATTGGTTTGACTGTAAGCATCAAAACCTCGTATCCGGTTAAATATCGAGGCTGATTCCATTGATGTGCAAACTCTGCCACGACTCGAGGGTCTGATCGATGAATGTCATGCGTATTAATAATATTTTGAGAGATTTCAGTTATAGAATTATTTGCCATCTTTAATTATCGAAAATAATTTTGCAAAAAGAATGATTCTAGGGCCTAGAATAATAAATTTATATTATTAAACTATTAAAAAATGTCATGATTTAAAAAATGATATACAAAATTAAACCTTTTTATACCTTACAATATATGTAATTCTGAAAGAGAAATAGATAAAGTTGCTTTTTTTCAAACTTCAATGTTCAGCCATTTTTTAGCATTTTTATATTTTTTTCGGAAAAATATCTCTCTTGAAAAAATTCCGGCATGCGTCCAAGCGATGAATGTGTCCTTTGTAATGGTGGAACAACTCCGATGACAGTTGTTCCTTGTAAATTATAGTTATTGTATGGGTATGTGGTAAATAACCCAGTTACACATGGGTTCATATTCCGTGCCGAAGGCACGGATT